CAGCCAGTGGGGGGGGGCGTGGGGGAGGAGTGGAGGCCACTTCCTGATGAGTTCTTGCAGGACCCCAACTTGTAAATCATTATTTTGCCAAGGCTTTTGAATTGATTGTGCAAGAGTGTAAACAAACATAGGTTCGTACAAGTTTCCGGTAGAATAAAATTATAATTTTAGCACTATAAAAGCTGCCAAAGTCTTGCAATGGATTCCTTTTGCTGAATCCTGTAACTAAACATCCCTTTGGTGAACGGAAGACTCCCAGCAGTTGTCAGCAGCACAGCACTGATGCCTGCAGTGAATTTTGAAGGTGCCATAAAAATGTCCCTTTGAACATTTCTTTCTACAGGGTTGTTAGCTGGCTTTTATGTCTGGAAAAAAACTTGTTTGGAACAAAGTAGCCTCAGGAGCCACTGAAAGGCCAAAGCATGTGCTCTTTGTCTCCCTCAGGTTTTGGAGATGTTTGTCGTGCTGGTGGCACCCGTGGAGTGTCAGGCACGAGGAACAGAAGAAATGGGGGAGAGCCTGCCGGCCACCACCTTCACTTCAGTCCCAGGCGCGAAAAGGATCCAGGGGTCTTAGTGCACCATACACTGAACATGAGTCAGCAGTGTGATGCCGTAGCTAAAAAGGCAAACGCCATTTTGAGCTGTATAAAGTACTGAGACTGACGCATCGTTGAGTGATTTCAGCTCATACTTTACTTAGTGATTTCAAGAACTTGAGATACAAGGGCAAGCCCGAGGGCTGCTTAAATGCACACACAGAACCCCACCCACCCACACACACACACACGCACACACACACCCGTGATTGGCTTATTTACATTAACCTCCATTAAATATCCTTTGAGGATCCGGATTAGCCGATAGGCTGTTTCCAGGATCCTCTGTCCCTATTGTTTCTAGGAGCGAAGCTCTGGTTGTTCAGGAGACCACGTTCTTGGTTCGACCACGTGTGCGGTCTCTGTCAGAACACAACACCCTTCCCCCCATGGTCTGGACCATTCCCTAGCAGACGCAGTCTTTGAGATAGTTGGGTTTGCGCCGTGCTTTTGAGGAATGGCACACCTCCGGGCTGTGTGTCTGCGCTTCTGGAGTCGGACTTGCAAGTCCTTGAGGTGCAGTTGGGACTTCGAGCTCGATGGGCATACCACTGGGGGTCGGTGTGGGGCACTTGTGGGAGCTGATGGGTGAGCGGGGCCTGCCGGCTCCTTTGGGCTGGCTTTCTTGACTTCGCTGTCTTTGGGAGCCTTGGGATTGGAGTTGGTGAGCTGGAGGCGCACCTGGTCAATATGCCTTTTGAGCAACTGCCTGTCTTTACAGGATATCTCATAAGTGCGCGGTCCCATGACCTGTACTATTTTGGCGGGGATCCACACGGGGCCCCGGGCATAGTTTCTGGCGTATACCAGGGCCCCTGGGAAGAACCCTCTGGCGGCCGCTTGGTCCTGGTTAGCTGTATCATATTCTGGAGCCTGGTCTGGGTGAAGATGGTCTAACCGAGTGGTGAGGTGCCGGCCCATGAGGGGCTCAGCTGGGCAGCGACCTGGGGTGGTATGGGGGGTCATGCGCTGTCCAAACAAGAAGACCGCCAACTTGTATTCCCAATCCCCAGGATCCATGCAGCGGAGTGCATCCTTAGTTGTCCTGACCATGCGCTCCGCCTGGCCATTGGTGGCTGGATGGAACGGGGCTGAGCTTACATGCCGCTTGGTCCTGGTTAGCTGTATCATATTCTGGAGCCTGGTCTGGGTGAAGATGGTCTAACCGAGTGGTGAGGTGCCGGCCCATGAGGGGCTCAGCTGGGCAGCGACCTGGGGTGGTATGGGGGGTCATGCGCTGTCCAAACAAGAAGACCGCCAACTTGTATTCCCAATCCCCAGGATCCATGCGGCGGAGTGCATCCTTAGTTGTCCTGACCATGCGCTCCGCCTGGCCATTGGTGGCTGGATGGAACGGGGCTGAGCTTACATGCCGGATGCCATAGTATTGTGTGAATTCCAATAATTCGGTGGACGTGAATGCTGTCCCATTGTCCGTGACCAATGTGTCGGGTAGCCTGTGTGTGCTAAAAATCCGCCACATTGTGCGGATGGCAGATCTGGACAATGTGGAAGCTACGGGGACTACCTCTAGCCACTTCGTGTATGCATCAACCAATATAAAAATATTTGTCCTTGGAAAGACCCCGCAAAATCCAGGTGAAGCCGGGCCCAGGGTTTGTGTGAAAATTCCCAGGGCCGGACTTGTGCTTTTGGTGGCTCCGGTTGCGACTCCGGACATCTCTGGCACCTCTTTACTCAGTCCTCAATCTCATTGTCGAGGCCCGGCCACCATTCATAGCTCCAGGCTAGTGCCTTCATGCGCACTATCCCGGGGTGGGTCTCATGCAGCACCTCGATCATCCGTTTGCGCAGGGGCGTGGGCACTACTACCCGACCACCCCACAGTAGGCATCCTTTGTGTGACGATATTTCCCCCTTCCTAGAGACGAATGCCGTGAAATTGGGCCCCACCAAGCCGGTAGGCCACCCCCTCACCACCCAGTCCAAGACCCAGGACAAGATGCAGTCCCGGGTGGTGTGCTGGGAGACCTCCGAGACCTGGACCAGATGGTCGGGCAGGTCCTCTAACAGAGCGATGTGGTGTGCCGGGGCAGGGGCAGGGTCGCACGAGGACAGGGGCAGGCAGCTGAGGGCATTGGCATGGCCTATCGTCTTGCTGGGCCAGTGCTGGAGGGCATACTGGTAGCCTGCAAGGAAAATTGACCAATGCAGGACCCGGGGAGAGAGCATCTGGGGGGTTTGGCAATCGGGGGTCAGCAATCCCAGCAGCGGTTTGTGGTCGGTGATGACTGTAAAGGGTCTCCCGTACAAGTAGTTATGAAACTTCTTAACCCCTGCCATGATTGCCAGAGCTTCCTTATCTATTTGCGCATAGTTGCGCTCCGATGGTGACAGTGTGCAGGAGCAGTATGCTATAGGCACTTCCCTGCTGTCGGCCAGCGTATGTCCTAGGACCACCCCCACCCCGTAAGGGGAAGCATTGCACGCTAGTACCACTGGCAGCGCCTCATTAAAGTGTGTGAAGACTGCATTAGACACTAAGAGATCCTTTACTGCCTTGAAAGCGGCGGTCTGTGTGGTGCCACAGGACCATGGGGCGTGCTTGTTCAGTAGCCTGTGGAGGGGTTCTGCAACTGCGGCTTTGTGAGGCAAGAAGGCATGATAGAAATTCAGAAGTCCTAAGAACACCTGCAGTTCCGATTTGGAAGACGGGATGGGTGCCTCCATGATAGCATGGACCTTCTTGGGGGTAGGATGGATGCCCTGAGTGTCTATGGCAAACCCCAGGAACTCTACCCGTGGTACTCCCAGCAGACATTTCTCCTGCTTGACCTTCAATCCCGCTTCACTTAAATGCCTAAGCACAGTCCCGT